GCGATGATAATCAAAATCGAACCAAGTACGCACGATAGAGATCCAAGAAGTGAAGATTTTTACTAAAAGTCACTATAGTCTCTCGAAGATAAGTACATACGTCTCCGTACCAATCCTCGAGACTCTACTTAGACTCGACTTGTACACACGTGAGACCTATAAACCTGGGGCTCTGATACCATTTTGTCACGACCCAAAAATGGACGTGATGGCACTCGCCTTATCCCACCAAGACAAGTCAGCCTAAAACTCAACCATTACAATAAAATGCGGAAATTTTATAATCAACTCAAATATACCCCAAAAATCTGGTTGTCACGTGTACAAGCCTCTAAAGTATTACAATTGATTCAAAAGAAAACACAACTCTAATATGACATTGTTTCTAGAGTAGAACAAGATCATAAACTGGAGTAAGAAGGATCACTGAGAAGACAAACAACTACCTCACAAATCTCCCAGAAGCCTTGGAAAAGAAGAGAATAACAAGTACCACAAAAATCCAGGCTCGTAACCTACAAAAATTTGTAGAAGCAAGGGGTGAGTACCAAACCACACGGTACTCAACAAGTAAACCTCTAAACACGAGCTAAGGGGATAGAATACAAGTACTCCTTACACCCCAACCGAACCTTCACAACTACAATCTGTATAAAACCAGCCCAACCTAACAGTTCACAATTTACAAAGCACATAGCTCAACACAACACTCTAACAATTTCACATCCTCAACAACAACAATAGTTTCATATCCTCAACAACAACATTCTAACAATTGCATATCTTCAACAACAAGCTCAATATTCATCAGTCACAAGTTCCATAGAAAGACACTCACAAGATCAGCAATACACAAGGTCAAGTTCACCAATAATAAAGAAGTGCAATGCAATGTCAAGTATAGTGATGCATGTCTAACCTAATGATACACACCCGCTGTCTCTCAGTCCGGGACCCATGGGGGACATATCTGTCCATGCATCCATCGCGGCGCGCGATACGACCCTCGATAATAGTAACCATCGCGGCGCGCGATACGTCCCTCGAAATATAGTATCCGTCGCGGCGCGCGATACGTCCCTCGAAATGGTACATCCTCTTTATTTTCTTATTCTTTCTCAATACACATAACACTTGTCACAATCATGTCTCAGAACAATGCAAATGACATGTTCACACAAATAATGAAGAGATGCCTATTTTCATAACATTGCACAATTCACAACAACACAATCAGGATACAACATCAACAATGATTCAACAAGACTTTCAAACAATTCTCAACACATCACACAAACAATTGATCACATTGCCTTTTATTATCCCTTTTTCATCATTAGAATTAATCAATGTGGACAAGTCAACCCATCACCAAACCTCATTACCCTAAACACATATTACTAGGAAATACATGCATTCCATACACTTAACAAGGGTTTAGAAATCCACTTGCCTCAAATAGTCGAACAATCACTCCGAGACTTGAGTCTTCCCTTTCGTTGAACTTCCAACTCAAAGCAATCTATTCACATTAATAATCACAATAAGATTTCGAAACTAATCACACTCAAATTACTATAGGTCTAGCCTAGACCCAAAAACTCACTCAATTTATAATCAAGTTCCTAATCTTGGTGCCAATTAACATGTCAACTCTCATGTTTTCCGAATTTCGAGCCTAGGATTAAGTCATAATTTCTCCAAACATTATAACCTTAATAGCTTTCATATAATGTAATACACTTAATATTTAATAAGTATCCCAATATATCATAACTTGAATAATTATGTGATAATAAAATAAGAATTAACAGATATGAGAACCACTGGTTACGAAACCAGTGATGGAATCACATAAGCCAAGGAAACCAACTCCTCGCCTGTCACTTCCACATGAGACAGAACTCAATTTCAACTATATGTGACCAATAATCCGTCAAACACTATTTTCTCATTAGCCCTCAATAAATGACCTTGATTTTCCAATTCAAATCATACTTTGCAGTCATTAATGCACTATAAAAGCCTATGTTGTTCACCATTATAATAATAACAATAATATACTCCATTCATACGCACTATTGCATATATTTGGCATGGTTACATATTACCTAGACATGAAGTATTCTCCCGTCGGCAACAGCTTTACGCAGGTAAGTCTGACTCCTTTTCTTTTCTTAAATTATGAACCAAAAATTCTCAACCCTAATAATTTATTTTCCTATATGGGTCAAGTGCTATATGGTGTTAACCAAATTATAAACTTAACCCATTTAGCATTAACTAAAATTAGATATTTAATAATTAACCATCAATTAGTTCACTCTAGTTAAATGAATATTCAAAATTTCCAAAAATGACCTTCCGGGTCATTACATTTACCAATAGATTAATGATCGGTTGGTATATTACCAACTATTTTAATGATGTTAGTAATTTACTAACTACAATCTTTATTCGTCGTCAAAATTTTCAACTAATTGGATATTGGTTGGCAAGTTTACCAACAAATTACATTTCGTTACTAATTTACCAACACATTTATATTTGGTTGGTAAATTTAGCAACACAATCTTGCCGTTGGTAAATGTTTGGTTAGTAATTCATTGGTAATATGTTAATAAATTATATAAACAATTTTTTGTCATATTTACCAACCAATATATACTTTGTTGGTAATATTACCAACAAAAGGTGTGCGTTAGTAATATTTCAGTTGGTAATCCATTAATAGAATGTTGCTAAATTTGGCGCCATTTTTTCCCGCCGTATTTACCAACTAAAATACTTAGTTAGTAAGATTTTGGTTGGTAATCTGTTAGAATTTCATTGTTAAGTTTTAAAATATAATTCAGTTAGAAATATGTTGGTAATTTGTTAGTAGACTACTAACCAACTTAAGTTGTTAGTAAAATCTGTTGGCAATTTGGGGTTTTTTTTAGTGTCGCTGGATATAAATATTGAAGAAGATGGAGTATATATATGGTAAAAATGGTTTTCTAATTTCTAAAAATAATGTTTTTATTTTTTAAGATCAGTAGATCACGATATATTAAATTTCAACCCATTTTTTTAAAAAAAAGTAAAGCACATAGCTTTGCATTGACTAAAAATCTAAAATTTACTAATGCACCATTTTCTAAGTTGTGTGCCTTAAAAGGATTATAGCTTTAAACCTCTTGATTTTAGCTTGACTCTTTTAAAGAAAACTATTATGGTGAGGAAACCTAATTCAAAATGTATTTTATTACATATAAAAATAAGATGCCAAGAGCTCCTGTTGAGAAAATGTTTGTGTTTGGTTTTCTACAAGTTATCAAAATGTAGAAGAAGTCTTTTTTAAATAATATCATGTAAGTTCAAGCTTAGATTATAAGAATCTTAGTAATATCTAATTTCTGCCAGCAAAGCGTTCACAATGGCTGAGAATCTTAAAATAATATTAAAAGGTAAGAAGTATACTCTTATTTAAGTTAATTATTGCAATCTCCATCTACTTTTACTCGTTTACTATATTAAAAATATATTTTTCAAGATCTAAGATTAGATATCAATTTTAAGAAATATTTAAAATTTAAATTGAACGAGTAAAAATAAACCTATGAAGTATTTGGAACCGAGTGTACATTTAATTAATCTAATACAAGCCTAGGGGCCAGAGATACCTGGTTCAACGAGTATTTAATTTGTTAGAATATTTTATACTAATACAATAGGATAAAAATAATATATATTGTATGTATACAAATTATTAAATTGCCTTAATGTGATAAAACCTTCTAGAATACTATTTGGCAGAATGTTTAGATTTAGGGAATATCTTTACTTTCTTAACTTGTCCCACACTTAAACCGACACTAATTAACATCATTCTATTTTGAGTAAATTTTAGAAATAAGAAACATAATAGATATAATAAGGCTTTATAGATATAGTTTTGATAATTATATTTCATAGTTATAGTTTCATTTGCTATGACGGCCATGATTTGTATGTTTTATGAGGTTTGTATATTTCGTTTGTCCGTTTGTATATTTTGCTCGTGAATATAGGGTAAGTATGTACGAATTCTGTATTTATACATTTAGGAATTTTTCAGAACTCGATTTGTATATTTTGCTTGTCAATATATACAAATAAGATAATTTATTGTGAATTTTTTATAAATCGTATATAAATATCTAGGGTAAACATATAGATATTATAGATTTATGTAATCAGGAACCGAATTATACAAAATTCTAATTTATACTTTTAGGCGAATCACACAAATTAAACAAATAACAAGATTTAAGGAAACAATGACTATGAATCACAATTTTCCAAAGCACTAGCTATAACATTTAATTTCGTTTAAATGTTTGCTATTCTGCACAATTTCCCCTTCTATTTTTGCACTAGAAACTATATCTGATCATGTACTTCTTGATATATATATATATATATGTACAAAGAAGGAATGGTCCGGAAGGTCCCGATATTTATTATGATTTCTCATTCCGATTCTTGTACCTTGTACTTTATGAGGCTTTCATTCCGATTCCTATATGATCTGTTCTAAGTGATTATTTTGAATCTCACAAATTAAGCGAAATAGAACAAGTATAAGGATCTTTCAAATCATTAATATTTTTATCAATAAGGGTTGTGGTGCAATAGTAAATACTCTTTTATGCGAATTTAGATTTAGTCAAACCTCACTATAAATACTACAAGAAATGTCAAGTGAGAAATTATTGGACAACCTAAACAACAAATTAAAATTTGGACAAAAGAAAAAATATAAAAAAATACACCCTTTATTTATTTAATATTATGAGTAGCTACGTACTAATTAATATTCCACAAGCATACTTAAATCGACTCCATTAACTAATAAAGACCTTACACTACCCTTTATTTTTTACCTCCTTAGTTCACATCATCTATATTAATAAAAAAGCTGATGTATACCCTCTATATAATCAACGATTCAACTATAATATTTTCGACATGAAATATAAATATATCGATATCAGAATATTCGAACGGTCCTAACGTGTGATTTCTTGACTGCTCCCTTCTTAGGAATAGTGACAATAAGCACTTCATTATCCATTGTTGATATCACTTTATCAACCCTAGCATCCTCAGGCAAATTAAAAACAGTTGAAAACTTGCCATTCTTTTTCTGAAAATGGTGCCAATTGTCATATTTTTTTTCTACTATTTTTTTCTCCCCACTAATCTTTAAGACTCTATCATCTTCCACTTGTACCTTCACTTCTTCTTTCTTATATCCATGCAAATTAGCTCTAAAAACATATGCTTCTGGGGTTACATTATACTCAAATTGAGCTAAATATGGAGTAACATGTGGGAATGATAGTGATGGTGCTATGAGAGATCGAGGGGTTTCGAGATAAAATTTATGAGAGGGATCGTAAGGATCTTTCTGACCTCGACTTGTTTGGGATTGACGTGTGATTTTTGTTGTTGCTAGTTGATTAAAAAGATTGTGTAGATCCTGATTTGTTGTTGGTGGTGGATAATTATAAAGATCTTGCTCATCACTTCGATTTGTTTTAAATTGACGATGCATTATTATTGTTGTTGGATCGTAAGAATCAGAACGATCATGATTCTTTTGAGATTGAGGCGTAATTATTGTTGCTGGCGGAGAATTTTGTACACGACGTGGATGGTTTTTGCGACCGTTAAATAGAGGTATTAAAGACATTTTTTTTTTTGTGGTATACTCAATTTGTTTTGGAATAAGAAAATATATTAGGAAGAAAATGAAATGTGACACAATGAGTTGCTTGCTGATTTTGAGTGTTATGGCGTGGGGGTATGTATTTATAGGGAGGAGTTTTGACAAATGGAATCTTTTTTGACGTGTATTTGACAAGATATATTAAAAGGATCATATGAATTGACCATGTGTAAAATATTTATTTTCTTCTTAATTTATGTGATACCTTTTGAAATTTTAAGATTCAAATAAATTTTATTTACCTCAAATTTTTTATGTTGTTTAAATATTTTGCATCGTCAAGTAATTTACAATACTAGTTAGTAATACTTTTACATAGTTTACAAATATATAAATTTTATTTTTAAAAAATTAAATATTTTATATCTGAATTTATAATCAAAATTAAATTGTTCGGCTATCAATATTTTGACTATATCTATAAATTGGGACATAGAGAATGCTTAATTAAATTATTTATAATGTAAGTATAGGTAAATCTCTACATAATAAAATAACACATCAAAACTATTACTTTTTTTCGCAAATTTCAAACCTTAATATTTATTTTATTTGGGAAACTTACATAAATCCCGTTAGTTTAGGAGCAAATTACTTAGTTACACAACCTAGTTTGCAATATTACGTATCTTACCAGATTTTGGTGTGTCTTGATACATTCAGATACGCTCAGATAAATGTATCTCAAGATACATGAGGTAAAAAATATAATTTATTCTAGATACATTCTATCCATATATTCACATGTATCTAGGAAACATAACAAATCTCGCCCACGTTACTTGTTTCTCTCCCATCTCGCGCGCTCACCACTCTCCTAATCACACTAGATGCATACATACACATGTATCTAGTGTGATTCACATGTATTTGTGATACATAACGAATCTCGCTTGCCTCCCTCCCCATCTCACTCGTTTCTCTCCCTATTTTAGTGCATCTGATAGTAAAAATACATGTATCTAATTGTATCTCCCTCAACATATGGTAGGAAAGTTTTTATTAGCGATAAGATACGTAATATTTTGATAATATAGATAATAATAGTGTATAGGGTAGTGTAGTATGTCTCATTATGTAGTTTTTCCTTCTTTTTTTTTAAACCTACCTTAACTATTGCTTCCTTTGGATAAAGCACATCTCAATACTAAGTTGGCCATATATTTGTTCCCAATCGACAGTAGGCGTGTGTAGGCCAACTGAGCATCGAGGTGGATTTTAATACAAAGAGAGTAATAATTAAAGTATGAAACTCATAAAAAAGTAATAATACTTTAGGTAGGTAAATAGAACAATTGACGTATGAAACTCGATAAAAATAATAGTTTAAATATAATTTTTACCATTAACTAAACTACATTGATAATGTAAGTATAATTTAGCAGTGTCGTAATCATATAAAAATTAAAATAAATCACAAGGGAGAAATGAAAGAGAACAAATGCTTTGGTACGGTAATACGTGGCATTTAGCCATCATATCTTTATAAAATATTCGCATAATTATTGGAGGTTTCTCACTGATTTTTAATTTATATTCATGAACCACCTTTTATTCTTAGATACAAATTAATGGAAAAAAACGTGAAAAAGGAAACTTATTATAACTTAGCCTTTTGTAGATACCGCACGTATTACCGCGTAACATCACAATCACTTCTCTTTCTTCATCCAATTGAAAATGAAAATGAAAATCATCATGCCTGTTTATATAGCAGTGTTTGATTGACTACAAATTTAAAAAAGAGAGAAAAAAATATTGAAAATTGTGGTTTGAAATAAAACGATCGTTTCTTTTCTGATTATAAACATCTTTGATAGATCTATGCATGTTATATCTGACTACAGAGGTTTTTTTATTAATTTAGCGACAATAAATATGCATATTAATAAAAACTGTCAAAGTTAATTATGGTTGAGTCTAATATTGCTATTATCATTATTTAGATACAAATATTTAACAGTTATCAAGCTTAGGTCAAAAAGTGAGGGTCAACTACGAGAACTGACACGTAGGCATCGGTGTTTCTTTTGTTTGGCACAACTGGGGGAAAACACCGGGCAAACTACCCCCTTTAATTAAAGGGAAAACTACATAAATCCCACTAGTTTAGGTCCTAATTACTAACATTTTCGATAGTTTCAAATATTACTTTATCTATCATATTTTATGCTTAGGATACATGAGTTTGAATCTGCGAGATACATGTATCTACCGAATAGACAATTAATTTTGAAAATTTAAATTAATCAAATCCCTTAATATAAGGCGGAAATCAAGGATGTATCTATGTTTAATTAATTTCATTTTATTAGTATTTGAAATAATAAATTCATTAATATTATTAATAAAGACAAAAATATGATTTGATTAATTTCATTTTATTACTCTTAAAATAGTAAATTCATTAATTTGATGTATCTATTATAAATATATGATGTATACAACAAACCAAATACTTAGATACATAAGTATCATACAAGTACATTCATATGTATCATAGAAATATCTAGTATTAAATTTCATGTATTTGTTATATGTGTCTAGTATTAATTTCATGTATCTATTTATACGATCTAATTTTAATTTCATGTATCTTTTATATATATGTATCTAGTATTAATTTGATGTATCAAGTGTCAATTTCATACATTATATTCAAAACAAGTATCTTGGATACATAGTATGCATATACATATAATTATGTGTTCTAAATATGGAATGTAACTGAAACACACGAATTTATGAACAAATCACTGGTCTTATCATTAAACCAAGAATAAAAGTAAAAAAATTCAAAATTCTTCATTTTTTTTGTAGCATTTGAATTTTTTTCTCATAGATACATATAATCTTAACTCAGATACACGAACTCTTAATTAGAGACATGTACACCTAATGTGTCTCCAACATTGTTGCACTTGATATGTACTTAATGGTGTATTTATTCAGTTAATTAAAGATTAGCGTAGTTCTTTCATCTTGATTACGTTCATAGCTGGTCAAGACATCTCACCGCGGCGATGTTTGCTTCACCTTTTAATTTGTCGATGTTGCTCGCTTTGCCTAGATCTGACAGACCTCCGGCAGAGCCATTGCAAATTTCACTTTTTCGTCCCTCCGACTAATAAAATTTTGAAGAAGAAGGTCCTCAAATCATCAGAGATAAAATTTGAGTCAACTAAAGAGTGAAATTGTTAGAAAAAAATTGTGACTAATTTGGCAGCAAAAAGGCACAAACAAACTACTTGCAAATAACACTAATTGCAATTATATTGTAGCATCCTTTCTACAATAAAATATAATTTTCTAAAGCTATTACATTATTTATTTGCATTGAATCAGGTTGTTTGCGGCAGTTGATACTAAGTAGTCAATTCTAATTTTAAGGGACATGGGTATCAAATTGTTTCTTGAATAATATATATGATTGTTTAATAATAAATCTTCTGATTACAGAAGCGGTTTAGAGTATTAATTTGTAGCGTGTGCAATTCTCAGCTACACACCTCCGTAGGTGGACTGTACAGTTTTCCTTTTACTTTTAAAGGACTATTTTTCCGTTTGAAGATCCGATGTGGGACAATGTAACCGACAGCGCTTCACAAAGGCGATAGAGCATTTATTAGTACACTATCATTTGTGTTGAATGCGATGTAATTATCTATTTTGACTTTGACTATAATCTCAGGATTATAATCCTAGAAGATATGTTACAGTTTCAAGACGTCCATCAAGTGAAAAATGTGAAAGAGTCCATTATTCGAAACTTCATACACTGCTCAAATTTTGAGATACAACACAAAGTACTATAGTTCATTAATAATAGGTAACAACAGCTATATAGTAGAAGAAAAGCTACAAAACTTCTGCGCCTAACATACTCATTCAACACTTAATATCCACAACCTCTAAAGGAACTTTATTTTTCACATTTTACAAGTCGATATACGATGCATGATGAATACGCATACACCATTGTCCATCAACCTTCTCGAAAACATTGGTAGCAAATTGTTTTCCCCAGCTGCTGCCTTTAGTTTTGACCATCTCAATGCATGTAACATACCCGATATCACCTCTAACATGGACTTGAACATCCCTGATCTCGATATCAAGTGGGAAGTCATATTCTGCCCAGACAAACTCCCAGCTTCCCATTACGAGATCATACCCAGTTATGCCGCTAACACCAGGGTGCACGACGCAAACATTCTCACCTTTTGACCAAAGGGTTTGCATTGCAGCTAAGTTTCCATGTCTGAAAGAGTTGTAAAAGCGGGCATTTGCTGCTAGTACAGAGGCCTTACTATCCTCCTGGAGTAGCCGGAGGCTATCCCTAATCTTTGCTGCTCGGGCATAGTTCTCCTCTTTAATAGCAGTCTTTAGATCCTGTGCCAAGCTTTCCTCATTTAGCAAGATGTTTTCACCGCTCAAAGTTCCTTCAGAATCCTCACTCATGACACGGCATGGTCTCAGTGAATGTGAATGAGGGCCTTGCCTAAAAGGTGCTGTTCTGAATAAATACATAATTAGATGATTTTACAGCGTAGGAGATAGGAAATTTGAAGTAACCCAAAAATTGAATGAAAAAAGGAAAGAAAATTGAACAGATGCAATACACTTAGCAGGTACAAGACATGTAACACAGTTTTCAAGGCCTGTCAAAGACACTGGCCATTAAAAATGATAGAAACGTGCATTTGAAATAACTATATAGGGGTGGTAGTACAATAAGAAGAACAGATGTTCAAATACTTAACAACGCCAAAACAGAATGTTTAGCTGACTTATTGCTTTTTCAATAGAATAGGCTGCTTGCTTACATGACAAAGAGTTCCTAATGTCTAGATAGAGGTCGTAACCTCTAAATGCAACAGAGAAAACAGAAGCAAGTGGAAGCTAGACTTTTTCTTCTCATAATTGTCATCTCTCAACTGCATATGAATCTCGAGATAGGTCAAGAAATACAAAGAAGATAGCACAATCTCGAGTAAGTGCTCAGATAAACACCTTGAATTTGATATCAGAGTTTCCCATACTTAAATTGCAAATATTCCTCCACATTATTGTTGTGTTTATATTCATGGAAGATATCTAAAGCATCATTTGAGAAGAGATGAAACTTAACACAGATTATTTCTGGTGAAAACCGTAAGTTACCAAATTCTGTAACTACTCTGCATTCGTAACTTCAAACAGAGTGTTCCTCATATCTGTTAAGTCACAGATTAGAAGTGCAGAAAAGAAGAAACAACATGTATTCATACTACTATCACATGCCCCCTACCAAAACAAAGATAAATTAAGATGATTTATGTTTATATCAAACATTCAAAATCAAAAGTTCTCACATAACCAATTCATTAAAAGAATAGACATATAGTTGCAAAATAATCGTAATATGAATTTCTAAAGTTAAAGAGAGCAACGGAAAGTTATGTGAATTGGAACCCTGTGCAAGAAGGTCAGAATTTCGCAACAGCTATAACAGCAGGCCAACAAATATCTAAGAAGGGTTATAGAAGATATTGCATACTCTTGGGTTGTTTGGATCACATGGCATATAATAACAATATAAGGATTGTTATAGAGTGATGATAATAGAGTGCATATTATGTAGGAGTTACCTACTTTAACAGCATTTTTTTAAATTTTAAATACCTTCATTCATCTTGCTAATACACTTATTTTATTGTTCCCTATTATACACGCATCACATAACACAGAAATTCACACATATCAGTCAAGTGAGTATTACTTAGTACCACCAACCAAATGTTGCATTACTTATGCAAGAATTGTCTTTTCGTATACAACCAACCAAGCATTTCAGTTATTCGGATATTATTTTTCCTAATCCTTCCAACCAAACAATTGTATTATTAATGTGAACTTTTATGTTTGATTATTTTTCCTAATCCCGTCCAACCAAACGACCCCTTAATGCACTCATCACTAAGTTGTAAACAACTTTCCTTTGAGAGATAAAGTCATATTTTATGAATATCTTCAAGCTAAGCAAGGAGAACTTACTGAAAGTTCCACTTCTTGAATCAAAAGCACCATGTCCAGGAAAATATCCAGATCCTATTTTAATTCGGCCAGTTGAAACTGCATTGAATTGCATTTGAAAAGCTGAAGAAAGGCGGTGATCAGTCTGAAGACCATTGATATTGGAATGAGCTGAAGCTATGTATCCTCTGAATTCAATGCGTCCCTAGGATGAAAGTTGAAGACGAAATAAAATTTCATATCAAATTTCCATTGTAAATGATGTTGATCCCATGCTAAATATGGTTGAGGCCTTGCACACTTCGTAATTTTAACGCATCATCTTAGTGTTGTTTCTCCCTATGATGCTCGGACTTTCCAAAAATGTTGCCACACCCGTGTAGGATCCTCCAAAAATACACCATTTTTGGATGATCCAACACATACCCATCGGCATTTTTGAATAGTCCAAGCAACATAGGTTTCTCCATTTATATAATATCAAATTCTGCAAACATTCTGGTACATCAGTAACGGTTTCTCTTAATGGTATAACACCACCATACAACTATTAAATAGCAATGGAAGAAGATTTAGACTACTGAGAATTGCACAATTGTAGACATTTCCTCCATTTTTGGGAATTCCAACTACAATTCCTCATCTATCTATATATAATAGGAGAAGAAAAAACGACACGTGTCAGCACTACAATTTTTCTTGAATTTTAATATCTTTAGTTAATTTAAATAATAAATTCAATTTAAATATCTTAATTATATTTTGTTAATTTAAATAATATATTCAATTTAAAAATATATATATATATATATAAAACAGTTCTTTTTTATATAAAAAAAAAAACAGTTACATAAAATAGTTTAAAGTTACCGTTTATTAACTTTAAAAGCAATATTTATGCAATGTACAAAATTGTAAATAAATATATTATTTTACAAACATAAAATTATTAGAATTTTTATGTTACCATTTCATTCCTTGAATAGTTTAAAACTTTAATTAATTTTTATTATATAAACATGTACTCTTTAAAAAAAATTCAACATATAAAAAACCTAAGTAACCAATTAGAAATTTTGATGCATTTTCTTATAAAATTATTTTTACTAATTAATAATTAAATTTAAATTTGCGGTTAAAAAACTGTTCAATACACACTCCCACTTCTACAAAATCTCTAAATCTATCTAATTATCTATTCGTTTTTTTAAAAAAAATATTTTAAAAATGAAAAATAAAATTTTAACTACAAATAACTGTCCCTAAAATTCCCCACCCACTTGCTTAACTTCCTATTCCCAAAAAAATCAACCGTATCATTCAGTAAACTTAACAATATAATTCAGTCAGTATTTTCTTTAGTTTTTCTGGTGAAAAAAATGTATCTCAATAAAAGAGAGTCAAAGCAATGATGATCCTTATCATTCATTAATGGAAAGGTAAGTATTTGCATAGTTCCTCTATTTTTCTTTTGTTTTATGTTGCTACATTAACAATAACTGCACTTTATTTGGAAAGCTCTAGATCTTAAAGATGATCGGTTGATTTTATTTTTTTAAAAAAATCAAAGAAAGAGGATCGTTTAATGAAGATGAGATCAAGCAATTTTGGTGTTGAATATATGTAGTTGAAGAAGGAGAAATTTATATGCAGATGAGTGATGATCGTATTACAGATTAATAGTTTTTTCTTATTGTCACCAAACTTGAATTCATTTTCTTCATTCTAATTTTATTCATTTTATTTTTAATATGAATTGAAAGTTTGAATTATAAATTGAAAGTTGAGAGTTTGATTCTAATTTATGTGTTGTTTTGAATCTTTGATATTGTTTATAATTGATGAGTATCTAATAACATATAGTTGGACTTCTTAGAATAAAGAAATATCAATCATATTCAAATTACAATAAAGTAGAAAATTATTGAGGAAGAAAATTTGAGGTTGGAGAGGCCAAATTTTATATACTTTTGGCGAAGTTAAGATGAAAGTCAGACATTTGAATATACTTCCGTATGTGTAAAGGTAGTCATTTTCTTAACAGATTTATAATATTTTATTAATATAGAAAAAAAAATTCAAATTTTGTAAATGTATAGGTACTCATTTTCTTTGCTTATCACTCTTCTATATATAATAAAAAAATAATACTGCTTCATTTTCATACAAATCTTTTTAATAATGCCTAAAAGTTATTATTTTTAAAATCTTAATTAGTTATTATAATAAGTATACTTTTATTTTTTACAGTAAAAAGTAAAAAGGAAAGGCATAATATTATTAATTATTAATCATTAAAAGGGAAAGAACGGAAAACTGTAAATAATGGAAACATTTGCCATTCATCCAAATAGTTACATAATTAGATTAATTAATAATTACTTATAATTTAATATTCAAAATTTTTTATTTATAAACAATCAATATTAATAATTGTTTTTATTGACTTCAAATGAAATTTAAGATATGTGGGTTGTGCAACGAGATTTTATTATAAAGGTGTTAAATTTTATTTGTCCATCTTGCAGATTTCCTCAACTAGATATTTAAGTTATATACATTTTACATATGTACGGACTCTATTTTGTGGGTAATTATCATTTTTTATATAAAATTTAAACTAACTTTTCACAGCTAATAATAATAATAATAATTTATATTATATATATATATGTATATATATATATATATATATATATATATATGTATAATAGGAGAGGTTATAGAGTGTGTTATTTCTTCTTTTTTGGGGGAAGTTTTCATAGTTATATTAATAATTAATAAGAATTTATTTATTATTTTCAGTAATAAATAAAATTGTTATTATTATTTATTAATAAAAATGTGAAAACTTCCCAAAAATTATTATTATTATTTTTTGGGAAATTTTATGTTCTTTATATAGTATTTATTTAAATTCAAAGATAAAAATTCAAATTTGGACGTCAACCAATTTTTATACTTATTTTTTGGTATAGTTTTATATTGCAACTATAAAAATATAAAAAAAAGAATGAAAGATAAAGTTTATTAAAATTATTGTACAAATAAAGATAAATGTTACTAAATAAATTTTGAATTTGAATGGGAAGTTACCATTGATCTTTTAAAATTTGAATCGAAAACTAACTTTATACTAGATAAAGCCAAATTTTAATCTATATTTCCTATATAAACTAATTTTCCATCAAATTTTTTATTTTATTCTCTACATATAAAAATATATATAAAAAAATTGAAAGATAAAGTATTTTAAAATTAGTTTACAGATAAAGATAAATTTTATGATATATAATTAATTTTTTAATTTTGAATTTGAATGGGAAGTTACCATTGATTTTTTAAAATTTGAATCGAAAACTAACTCTATATTAGATAAAGCCATATTTCAATTTATTTTTTCCTTCCATCAAATATTTTAATTTTTATTCTCTAAATAAAAAATATATATATAAAAAAAATTGAAACATAAAGTTTATTAAAATTACCTTACTGATAAAGATAAATTTTACTAAATATAATAAATTTTTTGAATTTTGAATTTGAATGGGAAGTTACCATTGATTTTTTAAAATTTGAATCGTAAACTAACTCTATACTAGATAAAGCTAAATTTCAATCTATTTTTTCCTTTATAAAGTAATTAGCCATCAAATGTTTTTCATAAAAAAATCTAAAAAAAAAAAAAAACCTAAAAAACTGATTTATAATAATTCAAAATACAGTCAAACATGCACAATATAACCAAAATTTTAATTGAAATCATATTGTCTGACTGATCCTAAAATATTTGCTCCATTTTGCTTCTCCTTTATAGCAAACACATTCATGCCTCCCTTTTTATAGCGTATATTATATTAAGAGGAAATAATTATAGGCAACTAAATCAATAGACTATTTGACTTTCAATTTGAGTATTTCCTCAACCTACTAATAATTAATTATAATTAGTAGTCTTAAAATAAGTTTTAACACTAAAATTTAACTATTACTTACTACTCACAAAAAATAATTTATCATTGAATTAAAAAAAATTAAATTAAAATATAAAATAAAAATAAAAGAGATAATGTTAGTTCAATTGAGGATTTTGAGTAGTTAAGTGCCTCCTTATTATTTCAAATTTTACTTTAAATTACTAAATCGATTGAGCGTATTTATTAGTTTTAATTTTGTGTAAAAAGAAAATGTATGACTAAGGTTATTTAAGTGGAGTGACACTGAGAAAATGATCAACAAATATTTTATTATTATTTTCATTATATAAATTTTTTAATTTAATATTTTTAAATGCTATGTTTTTAATTAAATTCCTATCATGCTTAAATTTTTTTATGTAATATTTTTATAATATTAATTTTAGATTTTAAAGTTGATGTATATTCTTTGCAACTTGAGAATTTTATGATAAATTTGTATCATATTTGATCTTTTTTCATAAATTATAAGTGTTTAAGATGTGTCAAGAAGTACGGAAAAACTTGCTTTGCAAATCATCTCATAAATATGCAATAATAACTCATACGTTAATAGGTTTCACTCATTGATATAATAATTTACATTAAAAAAATTGAACACATGATGTATAACATAATTACTTTCTTTAATATTATTCGCGCAACGCGCGGGTACGTATACTAGTTCTATTGTAACAAGACAACTGCTAAACTTTCTCCCTTTACCCAGACCAAATTGTCATGTTCACTACCTCTGGTGCAGCAGTCCAGGGAACACATTTGGCGGCTAAACTGATTGTAATTTACTATAGCTGATGAATTGAGGAGCTTAAGAGCTCATAGTCAGCAGAATGGTGAAAGAAAAGCTTAGGATTTAAGTGTACTCCAAGTTCCAACGGAAGAAAGAAAGACAGCAAAAACAGCAACAGTGGCAGCAGATGAGCAACAGGTAGCAAAACATCATCATTACCAGGCAGAAGTAAATGAAATCATGAAATGCAAATAGCAGACCTAAAGATTTTAGTAACAAAACTTAAGATTACTCAAAGCAAAGGACAAGTGAAACTAAAAAAACACCTCCACTGGACCAAAAGATTGTATGGCTCTATTGTGGGGCATTAACCTTCACTTTTGGAAAATTATTACCTTACCGAAAAATGAAAGAAATACACTTTAGGATTATTTTTTTTGAAGGCAAGTGGTGCACAGTTCGAACTCAGTAGATAATGGGCACGCTCCTCTACCCTTCTCCACTTAAATACCGGGTTTTATCTGTGGCTGGATTCTAATCCATGATTTGCGTCTTATCCACAGGTCGCACATAGCGCTCCTACCACTAGACCAAAGCCCCTGGTGAAAATTCAGTATAGAACCTATAGTCTTCCTTTTACAACTAGCAACTTTGCACCACATTCATGCCTTCACCACCACTGCCTCTATCATGCCAACATGTTTTCACCTTAATTCATTAATTTTCCGAAGATTACACATCAACAACCTCCGCGTTTACCCCTATCATGACTTGATGCACAACCATCAACCATTAAAAAACCAAGCTCTGAATTATCCATTCAAATCCTTGGAAATTCAGCAGTCAAATAGTTTTCAGCAACATTCTTGTTTTGATTTGGTAACCATGTCCTCATAAAACCCAACAACAACATCAATTTTTTTAATAAAAACTGAGTAAAACAAAGAGAACTAAAAGTGGAGAATCCATGGAATGGAAGTGTCTACTGGCACAAGAAGAAGAGGAAACCAGAAAAAGTGGAGGAGACAAAAGGAGGAACGGAGTGATGGAAAAAGAAGGGAAAGGGAAAAGCAATCTGAGAGAACTGAGGACTAATTTGTATGTATGTGATTTGTTATTTGGATGAAAGCAGTGTTAACCAATCAAATATTCAACTGACCCAAAAAAAAAAAAAAACACTTAATCAATCAAAAGGTCAATGTTAAGTTTGGGAAACTAACACTTGAGCTTTTGCAATTCTCCAAAAACAAGCTTTCAGCAATTGCCATAAAGTTTGCCTTCTTTTTTCTTTGGTCAAGGTTATCCATGGTCTTAACTCTTAAGTTGCATATATGATTAGTGGGAAGAGCCTTAGAGACTATTCGTATGCGCGGAACTCCTTGAAGATCAAAAGTACATACCTCTTGGAAAGTTCCGCGCATAGAGAAATATTATTTCCAAATGAGATAAGTGGTTTGCTTCATCAAGATCAATAAAGCTATACCCTTCAATGAAACCAAACCATCAGTGCACCCTTTGTTTCGGTATAAACGACTAAAAGTCAATAAAATAAGAAGAAAGTAAGATCCCTCAAAAGAAAATTCCCCATCAAAACTCAACATCATGGAAATAAAAAAAAATCCTAAACAATCATTATAACTAATTGTGCAAGTGCAACAAATACAATTTTTTGCTGGTTACAAATAAACTGAGTACATCTATTCTTTGAGAGTAGAGGAACCTAAAACTATAACATCTCAAACATTTTACTTCAGCAGTACAAAACCCTTATAAATAACTCAAAAATCAGAAATTCAATGCAACATAAAGGAACAAGAAGACATTTCCAAAAAAGGAAAAAACTCACAATATTGGCGGAGTGGGTTCGACTGATTCGAGGTCCAAAAGACAATGTTTGGAAATTCGAAGCGACCTCCATTTTTTGTTAATACAAATTCAAGTTATAAACTGCTCAACTCTGTATATAGGGTAACAGAAGCAATGAATTATCAGTTACCATAGCCATAGAGAAACTACTACAAGAAGAATTTAGGACTGAGATTTGAATTACCTGTCAAATTTTTGATGGAAGAGGACAGCGAGCTCTATCTTTTTTTCAGTGATAAGGAAGTGATTTAACTTTATATGTATAGGGAGGGTCACGACAAAGAAAATAGTAGTAATTGGGCTTACAATAGGAGTAGTTTAGTGTGGACTCTATAAATGGGCTGATAATTGACCTTAATAAATCGGGTCATTCGAGTAAAGGTGTTCTTTAATATGACTTCAACTCATATTTAGGCATCTCCAATCCAAATAAAAAGGAATAGTTTTCTCTCTTTCATTATTATATTATTATTATTTCTTATTTCATAAAATAAATTCTTTCTAAAACATTCACCATATATAATTTATATTATTTTCTTTTATAGTCGTTTAATATAAAATTATTTTATATCATAATTTTTTAAATAATATAAATTGCTAGCAAAATTATACATTATACATAATAATGGATAATACAAATAAAAGTGAAATCATTAATGAAATACAATTAAATAAACATTACATAATTGAAAAAAATATTTTAAATTTTACATAAATATTCAACTTTCAAGATCACTACGGTGCTTTCATAAATGCTCTATCAATGCATTACGTAGTTCAAAATGAGTTCTATATAATGTTTAATTAAATTTTTTGTATAATGATCTAATATAAAAATATTCAATAAAGTAAATTGGTGTGATGAATAGTGTTACACCAAATTTGGTGTAACATTATTCACACACCAAAACGATGTAAAATTTGGTGTTGGGTTGGAGCTCCAAAACACCAAAATTTACACCAAATAAAGATTTGGTGTAAATTTTGGTGTTGGATTGGAGATGGTCTTATGCTCTCCAATTCTGAATGTGCTCAAGTACGTACTTAAAAGTTAAAGGCCAAGTAGGCACATGTGCCCTATGTAGCATAATACACCTAGAATGCCATATAGGATGCATGACTATCACGTAAGATGTCACATAGGATGCATGTGTTTACTTGTTCAATTTTTTTATAGTTTAAGTGTCTACTTGTGCGTTGTGCCCATCCAAAGTTGGAGACATAAATATCAGTTGAGGTCAAGTTAAAAGGGCACATTCATGTATTATGCCTTGAATATTTCTCCCCTCCAACTTTGGGTGTGCACAAATAGATACGTAAACTTGTATAAAGTTAAACAAGTAGACCCATGAGTCTTACGCGACATAATACACGTAGGACTCAAATTGTCATGTAGGATGCCACGTAGAATGTGTTTATCCATTTGTTCAACTTTATATAAATTTAAGTTATGCATACCCAAAATTAGAGGACATAAATGTAAATGAGATCAAGTTAAATGACATATTTATGTCTATGTTCAATTAAAGCTATACCACAAACATAAGTTCAATAACGCAAATTATACCCAGGACACAAGGTATGATACAAGGCAAAACAAATTATGCTCGAAGGCAAAAGGAATTAAATTCAAAATACAAGTTTAAAATTTAGTAAAAACAAATTACGTCTCCAGACATAAATTCAGTGGCACAAGTTATGCCATTGGTTAAAAATTTTATATACGAATTAGATATACAGAACTGTTGCCCCAAAATAAATTAATTATATGTTAAATGTGGTTGATGAAATAACATAAGGATCAAAATCACAATATATCAATAACTCAAGGGCTTAAATTTAAAAGTTCTCCCTCTTCTCTTTCAACTGCCGCTCCGTGTCCAACTCGCGTTTTATTTTAGACTAATCAAAGGAAATTTTCTCCATATAAAAGTACACTGAAAACTCCACTTTCAATCTGTTTGAAAATAGTGAGACAAGCACAATTAAGTTTAGCAATCAAAAGATAAATTCAATTTTACCACAATAACATATCCGGTGTAATTGAACGAGTGCGTTCAAATTCAATTTTGTGATAAGAAATTAACGGGTCACACTCGAGTAGCACGATGTCGTTTTACATTGGTCGTGAGGCTTCAAAGGTTCGTTTTTTACTCCATTTCTTCAAGTTTATTTACAACTCCTTTTTTTGCTTTCTTGCTCTTAATTTTTTGTGTTGTTGTTAGCTATGGAAGAGGATTTGTACGGAGAGTGGAATAGAAATCAATCTTCTTTCGGAGAAGTGGAAGTATATTCTTGGAGGTTTGATATTTCAGGTTCATATTGATCAACCTTCTATTTTCTTTGTTGCACCATCTGAGTTTGGGGCGTGGAATGAATATTCGATGATTCATGTATCTGAGCTTGACTAGTTTGAGATAGAGGTGTTTTCGTAGAGTAGTTGTTGTTGTATGTAAGGTTTGTGGCACAGAAAAGAATTACTCACTCCATTTCAATTCATTTCACCTACGTTGACTTGACACGGAGTTTTAAGTGAAAAAAACATGACTTTGAAATTTGTGGGGTTAAATATGGCATAATATGTGTGTGAGTATAGAAGCTGAGGGACTATTTTGTGTAGTTGGTTTTAGTTGAAGATGCTAAGAGTCGTTGATCATAGTTTGTGACTTGATTAGATTTTGAAAATTATGGCTTATCTTCTTTAGTTCAGTTTTGAACTTAACAATTTTAAAAAATTGAATCTAAGTTCACAGACTCTTCACTCTGAATATTTTCCTAGTCGATAGTTTCTTTCTTCAGCACTTCCTGTTTTCTTTGTTGTGTCTTGAGTCATGGAGGGGAAGGGAGGAAGTGTAAGAAGAGAAAGTTTTGAGCAATCAAATTTTGCATTTTCTTTCACCTTTTGTTGAATGATGCAATTTATTTGTGTTCTTTTTACATAATTTGCTGTTGTTGTCATTGTCATATTTGATACATCATTCCCCTTTAGTTGTTCCGTAATTGTTTTTCTTCATGATCATAGTGCTAACTATTAGATCTACCAAGTTGTAAAATGTCTCACCTTTTGTCAGTACATACATGGATTTGCTGCTCGAGGGGTTCACTACATACATCGGCCTGGACCTACTCTTCAGGATGTCGGCTTCTTTCTTCTTCCGGTTGGTTTTATTGGTTGTTGGTTCTCTTTATCTCCACTCTATAGGGAGATGCTCACTCATAAACTTCCTTTTTCTTTGTTTGTTTCCAAAATGAAAACTCCAGGAGCTTGGGCAAGACAAAGGTTACATAAGTGAAACTGTATTCACCACACTCTTTCTGTCTTTTGTCTTGGTGAGTTGTTTTTGGTAATTTTCAGTCACCAACTATTACTGAATCCGGCTGCAGAATATTTCCATCCCTTCCAACTAATTTTGGAGCTTTAGTTGGTGGGAGTTTTCAGTTTATTTGCTATTTAGGTTTTCATATCGTATCTTCTTGTTCTAACTCTTACTCATGTTTTCCTGCAGTGGACATTCCATCCTTTCTTTTTCAAAATCAAAAAGATCTATACAGTGCTGATATGGTGCAGGATCTTGGCTTTCTTAGCTGTAAGTGACCAGTTCTCTTGAGTGTCATTCTTGTGTTGTTTCATTTGTGAAAGTCCAATTAGTTTTCAACTTATCGAAGAAAAAAAAGAAGAGTTTCAATGGAATCTCATCATTTCTATATTCAGTTTAAATGTTGGCAAAGATTACTTTAATTCTCTTCCTGTATGCTTCTATTTCTCCTTAGGGCTACCCAACATTTAGAGAGAAGTCATAGTATCCAATATGAACTGCTAAGTTGTTGAATGATTGTTTACTACAGGCTTGTCAGTTCCTTCGGATCATCACATTCTACTCTACACAGCTTCCTGGTCCAAATTATCACTGTCGTGAGGTAAAGACTTGTCTCATTTGGTTGATAATAGATGTGCCAGTTTGCACTTTTCTGTTGCCTATCATCTGCGTGTTATGTGAACTGTCTATCTTCTGATATTGCAGGGATCAAAGCTTGCCACATTGCCTCCTCCAAATAGTGTTTTAGAAGTTCTATTGATTAATTGTGAGATATATTTTGCCTTCTCTCACTGTATTTAGTCAGTTCTTGTTACAAGGCAACTTATGTTAAGTTTATAAATGTGCAGTTCCTAGGGGCATGCTTTATGGTTGTGGTGATCTGATATTTTCATCTCATATGATATTCTCTCTAATCTTTGTGCGGACATATCATAAATACGGGACACAAAGGTAGTATATTAGCAGTTATATACTCTAAATATTATGTTTTGGTAAAACAGTCTGATATTCAGATAAGAGTTCTGTTTTCTGTGAATGCGGACACTCTATAATTTCTTCCTTTCCTTCACTTCCATTTTTATTTTTTTGTGTTTTCTATAATTTGCTGAACTAGCTTGGGACTGAGGCATAGATGTTGTTTGGTTTTCTGTAATTTAAAATGGATACCCTAAAAGTGAAGAAGGCTTGAGTTAAGAGTTTTTACGACAGCCAGAAGTTGTTAGTGATTGCTGAATTTGATTCTGCAGATTTATAAAACTGTGTGCTTGGTTAGCTGTAATTGCTCAGAGCTTCTTGATTGTTGCATCTCGCAAACATTACACTGTGGACGTTGTTGTGGCATGGTGAGTGGAACTCTCAGCTTGACAATCTGCGTTAGAATGTTTGTTTGCAAATAATAGTTGTCTGACTTGATTGAGCCCCCTATTACTTTGTAACAGGTACACTGTTAATCTAGTGGTGTTCTTTGTTGACAAACAGTTGCCAGGTTTAACATCCTAATCCTCACATTGAATGAATTTAATCTTGACTACTTCCTCCTTCTGCCCCTTTCTTGTTTTTTTTTTTGCTTAGAAGGGAAGGATAAATATTTTGCTGAACCAATGAGTATTTTCTTCCAGAACTGCCTGACCGAACTAGTGCAGCGTTGATTCTACCACTGAGCAAAGATAGCAAGGCTAAGGAAGAGAATCACAAACTTCTGAATGCAAATTCTGGAGATCCTGCAGAATGGATTTAGAGAAGCGTTCTGGATTGTGTATAGATGTGTATAACCCAAATTTATGAAAAGATCATTGAAGATGGGAGCACAGTTCATGTTGAAGCAGTGATGAATGGTGTATAGACGATACATAGAGTGCAACTAACTGAAGCTGGTTAAAAGTACTTCTGTTCAACATCATTACAAGGTTGGTCTGACAAATGATTCCTGATGTTCCTCCTAGTTCACTAGTTTTGGTTTATAACGTCGAATACAAAATCGAAGGTCAATGCTGTTGATGTATCCATGTTCCCTTTGGTTAAAAATTATCGAATGTATAATGGATTCCATCTTCAGCTGATAAATTATCTGTTTAATTTTGTACTCCCCAAGTTCTTGTGTTGCATCCCTCCTTCAGCCGAGGGTCTATCAAAAGCAACCTCTCTACCTCCACAAGGTAGGGTTAAGGCTTCATACTCACTACCCTCCCTAAACCCCACTTGTGGGAGTACATTGGATATGTTGTTGTTTTGTACTCCCGAATTTCTGGCTTTTAATTTTTCATAATTTGTGTCTAGCCATTGATTAATTGAAGTGACAACACTAGTAAATCCTTGATATATGTCAAGTCTTAGAGAAATCTTTATTTCCACACATTGGTGGATAAAGTTACCGGTACTTGTGCTGGTAGAATGTAGTAGATGCTAGGTAAGTTAGTCGCGCACATGCTAACCCGAATGGTACTGCCATATCAGAAAAAGGGATGAAAATGAAGTGCTCTCTCTGACTAGAAATTTAGCACAGATGATTAATGACCAGCAAAAGTGACTGGGATAGATCCTTCATCTTACAGTTAATGTAGCATGGGATGTAAAGAGCATGTAATGTTCCTTCATGCAACAGTGGCATGGAGTCAGTAGATCTAATTGAATGCCTTGTCCAATATGGATGGCCTATTACCTCTTTGCTGAAAGGCTTTACTTAAAAAGATGGAGAATGCAACTAACAGCACATGAAACTTCTTGCTCTTCTAGCAGTGTTTGGTTGTTGCAATGCTCAAATTCTATAAACACATGATAGCCCATATCTGCCTTGTATTGTTCATTCCGATGTGAAACTACATTTTGGGATGGTTTGTTTCACATGCTAGTTATGTTGGGATTATAATGTAGATATTGTTTACGCGATGAATAATAATGTGGATTGCTATGCAGAAATTGATAATGTAGGGATTGTTATGTGTGACCTTCAAAATTAGCTAAAGCAGCTTATTTCTAGGGTCACATTTCCACCATTATATAAACACTTATGAGTCCGTTAAATTGTATGTCTAGCAGATCAGAGAATAAATGTACAAATCCTTTGAACATTTTCATTATATAAGAAGACATGCTCCATATATTTGGCCTTTGGTTGCATACAACAAATGATTTTTAACAATTACAACTCCAAATCCAAATATCATATCATGTAATGGGGTTTCTAACTTATCAACCTCCATATTGGAAAAGGACATTTTAAAGGTAAAACATTTACACAAAATCATCGAAAATGGAGACTTATCTTTGAAGATGTCTCAACCTCTATTGTAAAGTTTCGAGGTTTTCCCAGCTTGCCTTTGTAGGTAGGTAGGTGCACTGCAAAGCTAGTCGAAAAAGAATGTGTAAATATTTCTTTTTAACATCTCAGGCCTTCAGAGGGCTTTTACACATGGTACATGAACAACTCTTTACTATACTATGAGGGGATGTTAAAGTGGAAGAGCCAAGATATGACAAAGGCAAATACCATACAAGCTAAAAGGAAATTCAAGAATCGATGACCATTCAAACAAGTTCGCCTCTCTGAAGAGGAAGATACTTGTACAGGGACTACATTTGTAGCCAAATCATTTATTTCATTAGTTTGTTGTGCTGATTCAATGTCAGTTGGCCCAACAACATTGCGTGCAATTGAATTGCAGATTTCACAAGTCCTGGAAAAATAACTTCAAATGGTTATTATATGGCTAAAAAGAACGAAAGATGCTTACAAAAAACAACTAGTGCAGCAAAGGATTTCCAGCATTGACTCAAAACCATCAACAATATGGAAGCACAGGTTTAAATTAAGGATTGAGCTGCACAAAAGTCATTACAATTTAACATTTTTGTCGGAAGACGTCTATCTTCCTTGTTAAATCATCATACGAGCTAAAGTTGAGAAACTAGGATATGGAAAAAAAAAGATGATATATCAAACATACACCTCAACTATCAATTGCAATCATACTGAACAGCAACCACTGGCCAGAATGTATAATAAAAAACGTAACGAATTAGCAATTATAGTAACAATGAAGAAGTTATGGCACAAGATGTTAGGTTAGAGAAAAGGAAGCCCTCCATTTATGGAAGGAGGAAGATCCAAAGTAAGAGATGTGATCTTAACATTTGCTAGTAATTCTTTGGATCCATTAATGGCCATGAATGTTTTAAGACTTGGGGAATAAGTAGTAGCATGTGAGGACAGAAAAGTATAATGCTTCGACGTGAAAAATGAAAATGAACACTTCCTTCCTCCAAGGACAATTCCAGTTTGATAAAGAAATGTATATGTCAAATTTCAGTTAGGAAATAGAAACGAAAGAGTAAAAGTTTATGAAAGCCTATAAGTAAGAAGACTCAACAAAGTACTTACAAATCTGAATCATACCTGTCCTTGCTTTACTCTTTTGCTTTTCATTTTATTCCATCCAGCTTCTTTAATTAACTTTTGTCTCTTTTTCCATTAAATATATCATGAGATCTCTTTCTCAACAAGAACAAGACATAACAGAAGAAAAAAAGCATTATTCTTACAGAACATTCACTGATTATCAAAAGCACACACTTGACACTTCCAACATTACAGATCATTTACTGACATCAAAAGCACACACTTCCAACACAAGAATCATCAAACCATATCATTGCAAAGATTAATAAAGTGAAAGAATCTTGGACATAACATAAGCCAAAAAATAAGGACATCATGTTGAGATGTCAATCATCACATCTAATATGCAGAACATTTCGTGTTCGAGTTCCCTAGCTACAAAGTCGCCTTTGTTAGGGAGGGCTTTATTGGGACTTCCTGACATGAATCCAGATTTAGTCGAGCTCCCTTATATGTACCGGACACCGGATGGAAAATTTTAAAAAATCATCTTAAAAGGTCACATTGATCATATATACATCATAAGTTCAAAATTTACTAACCAACAACAACAAAAATTCAAGATTTGGTTTTTACTTACTTATTTCCCTTGATTTTGAACCATGTTTCAGCACAATGCCTATGTGCAGCAGCCAAATCATCTTTACATGAACATCCCAATTCAATAGCAACCCCATACTCATTTCCACAACTCACCAAACTCAAGTGACAAATCCTACAATCTCTTTCAATTTCCCCCAAATACCCCTTACTTTCATCATCTCCAATTTCTATACCAACTGAATCAGCAGACTCACTGCCACGTGTATAGCTATAATCATCTTGATTAGACCCATCAGCAGTGGAACAAAACTGAGAATAACAAGAACCCTTGTCGGCATCGGAAAAACTGACACTAACGGAGCTCCGGCGACTGTTACCGGAGCACTCTAACTCCACATGGGGTACCTCTAATCTTTCCATTTCAACGACCCAGAAACAGAAAATTCAAGAAAAAGCATTAATCCCCTTGAAAAAGCTGAAGTCTTTAGTAATCTTGAAACTTCAAAGATTTGATTTTTATGATACACTGCATGAGTTGAAGCTACTTCAGCTATAAATTTGATGAATTTAAGGAAGTGGGGTGATGAATTTGGTGATATATTAACTCAAACATCTTAAATTTAGAACCAAAAAAAAAAACAGAGAGAAGAAGAGAGATATGAGTTAAAAATAGTGAAAAGAGAGAGGGAAAAGAAGAATAACGTAAAAAGCGAAAGGCTCATGGTTCTGTTCTAATAGCAGTGAGACAGGGGGAGGGGCCCTACCCCCAGGGGGTCACAGAGAGGATAGTGAGATGTGATGTGTGATTATACAGTAGTAGCAGTAGTTGGTGGAGTTTAAAATAGATCCATTTAAGATATAGTATGAAGATATTTTTATGTTAATGAATCGTTTGATCGGAAACAAGTTATTCTGATGAAGTCGAAGATATCAATAGTGTTTCTTTGGAGAGTCCCATATCAGTGAGTTGTTGTTTTTTCCTTTCAAAAAATGCGGAATCTGAAACTTGGTCACAAGAGTCAATATTCTGAAACTGACGAGTAACTCTTACCAAAATATGACTTTTAAGTACATTCACATTCTTTACTGAAATGTGAGTGTGAGATCCAATCCAATGGACATAACCACAATATTATAGGTAAGGGCTAGTTTGGTACGAGGCAAGATTAATTTTAGGATGAGTTTTTCTCGTGATTGGTTAGAATAAAATTGTCGAATAACTTATTTCAGAATAATAATATTATTTTTATTTTATATTAAAAATGGAATAGCAATTTCTGAAATAACTTATTTCTGATCAAATGAGCTCTTAGAGATATTGTAGCTTGTAGGCAAATCTCCCACACAATTAGTGTGGAATTCGATTCCCCAATTTTTTTTACCTTCTTGTTTCCCTATTCTATATACAATGAAAAATTGTTTTAAAAATAAAATAAATAAATAGTTCATCTAAATCAAGAAATGTATTCTTCTTGAAGAAAATTATCATATTTAAAAAGTTTCAGTTTATTTTAAGATAATATTTGTATATCAAAATACTATGTTGCCTCCCTATTTGAGTAAGGAATAAATAGCATTACCTTGTTAACAATGGGTCTCGTGACTATTCTTAGGCTTGGATTGAATAAGGTTTAGCTACTAGCTAGTGAAGAAAAAGTACTTCATTTAATTTTTATAACAAATAGTGTCCGAGGATTTATCGCAAATATTTTTTTTTAATTTTTTAAAATAGAAATAAAGTTTGCGGACATTTTAACGTTCTCAGATTTTACTTATGGAAATGCATTGAGTATGTTGTTGTTGTTGTTGTTATGTTCAAGCAAACTTTCACGCACCCTGCCTATTCCACGAGATATTTATCATCTTCAATCAACAATAGATATAAGGTAATTAACTTTGTCCATCAAAATTAGGACAAATTAAAAGAAATCACCATGTATTTTTGTCTTTGATGAAATTCAAACAAAGGTCTTATAGTTTTCAATCCAATTTGTTGACCATTAGGTCACACCTAGGGTGTGAGGGTATGACCTAGTGGTCAAAATAATTTTTTACTTTTTCCATGTTTGGTGGATCAAAATGCCTTTACAAATATTTTCTCCGGAAAAAAATACCTTAAAAATGAGGAAAAATGACTTTCCGTATGAAAAACAAGTTTTATAAATGATATTTCAAGTTTATTGTCTCCTCCTCGTGCACCCAACACAACAACCCCCACCCCTTGATCATTCCACCCCATCACCCCACTCCGCACCCCCAACCCATCACATAATATTTTGCTACATTGTATATAAATATTATCGAGGTAATATCTTTTTAGTCACTTACCAAACACTAAAATATAAGCAAGTAAATTTTCATATTTAAAAAAAAAAATCATTTTCTAAAAAAAAAAAATCGAAAACATTTTCCTTACCGGCTGCAAGATATTACTTTCATTTCAACAGAAAATATTTTTGGTGCTTGAAAAAACAGAAAATATAGAATTAAAATAAAATTAATGACGTGTTTTGTGGTTTTCCATTTTTTAACCCTTACACACGGAATGGTTGTTGTAATAAGATTAAATTCAAGCAGGCAAATTAATTAATGCCTTTTTTTCTTGTTATTTTTCTTTTCCTTTTTTAACTATATCTATTATTGGAGTTGGTGTTGAGTGGTGACAATCACAATTATTTGGCAACGATCGACCACTTCATGTTTTAGGTCTATTCTTTAAATTATACTTTTTTTGAAAAATACAAGATTTTTTTAAAAAAATAATACATGTTCCTATAGCTAATACATGCTACATACTGTTACAAGTTACAAGTTACAAGTTACAACTTACAACAACATCAACATATCCAGTGTATCCTATAAGTGGATCGGAGTCTGGGAAGGATGGTGTACACAATCTTACTCTTATCTTGTGAAAAAGAAAAGAGATGATTGTTTCCGAGCCTATTATTAGAAAATTAAAGTAAGTAAATAGTACTTAGTTAGGAGCAGGGGCAGCAGCGTCTTCATCAGCAGCTCCATTGCTTGATAGCTCAATCATTGTACGATGTGGGCCGTTCTTCTGCTTCTTGCATAACTCTGGCAAAAATACTCCTACACATTTCCAACATACATATAAAATAGCGCCTAGGACGCAACGTAGGATGCACATTTACAGCATACATATAAATGTGAATTGTCACGTAGGATGTATATATGTACTCGTTCAACTTTACATGTTTTAAGTGTCTACTTGTGCATATCAAAAGCTGGAGGACATAAATATAACGCGTTTACATATAATACGTAAATTAAATTCAAATAGTGAATGTAACTGTCATCTATTGCTTGTCTGAATTAAGAAGGAAGTGGTCTTAATCAACTAAAGATTATATTCCATTACTATTAAAGGAATGTCACTTGACCCAAGCAAAAGTATAATTAACTGAAAGCAACAAGTTTTGTTAAGCACGATATCTCCAAATTAAACTCATTACCAAGCAAAAAATGATACCAAAAAATAGATTACGTTTTTAAAAAAATGATAATCATCAACTTCTCGACCCAAAAATTCATTTTTAGCATTTCTAACTAATGAAAGTAAATTTGAATTTGTTATATATATACAAACACTTCTCCAAAATTCATTTATAAGCAAATTACTCCTAAGAAGTTGCCCCTTCCTTTCCACTCTATACGACACATACCAACTACAATGTTTTTATTTTAATTTCTTCATTTGGATTCGCGCTCAGAAGTCTAGTAATTTTTTATATGATCAAAGTCTATTCTCATAGTCACGAACATGAGGAGGCCTGATTAATTCATCTTCGTATTGAGAAATATCACTTTAGATATCAAAGACAAAGACGACTCCATTCTCATGAGGACACAAATACAAGAGGGCTTGATTCATGCCGAGAAGTCTCACTTTAAATATTAAAGACAACTCAATTCTTAAGGCACAAACACGACGATATATCAAGGTTGGAAAAGTACATATCCATCCCACTCATAAGATTACCCTGGATATATAAGATGTTGTTATATATGGTGAGAAATTTAAAAAATGATGTATGTTATGAATGAGACAATGTTGTTACCTTCTCCAGCAGCCAAATGGAAGTAAAGATCAACAATGTTATCACAATTTTTGTTACAAGCAGGGGAGCAAACTGAGGCCCAAGCAATGCATCAGAAGAAATTCCAACAGAGTTTCTATCAACACCACAATTAAGCATCAACACATTCATCTGTCTCAATATGTTCCTTCATTTTTGTAACAACAACATTAGATGTCTTACATTGGTACTCAACCTTCCCATTTCTCCCTGCTGAATTTTCCAACAAACACCTCTTCCCTGATGTCGAAATCGCGAATGCACAAACATTCGTTGACAAATCCTCATCCCCTGAAACGATATAAAAATCAACACATAGATCATCAGCAATATAATTACTAAGTACTTGACAAGTGTGTTACATGTCAGGTTGTCACGCATTTGGTTCATCAAAAATAAATGATGTATCTGTACGTAATGTAATTTTAAAATGTTATAGTTTAACTTTATAAATAATTGGGATAAGGGTCTGAAAAATATCTCAATTTTGGTCGGATTTGCTGTTGCGATACTAAACTTTCGTGAGGACCTATTATCTTCTTAAACTATTTAATACCGTATTTTAAACATATATATTTGTCCGCGTGGACATAAAAAATAATGTAAAATTATAAATAGTGATGTGTCCACGTGGGCACATATATACCTTTAAAATACACTATTAAATAGTTCAGGGGCTAAAAAATACGGTATTAAATAGTCTAGGGAGGTAATAGGTCTTTATGAAAGTTTAGTATCGCAACAGCAAATTCGACCAAAATTGGGATATTTTTCAGACCCTTTATCCCTAAATAATTTGATCACATATATATAATTCATAACATATGTGTATTATTGAGATCTCAATTGAGAAATGAATTTAATTAACTAAATGCATGTTACAATTCATAATTATGTAAATAATATATCGTTTTTTTTTTCTTTTTGTGGTTATTTTTGGTACAATCGTAATACAATGATGTGAATTCTTTTGTGTGCGTGAATAAAAAGAGTATTAAATATAGAGTATATATAGTAAACGTACCCAAAGCGCCTTGAAGTAAAAGGGCACTAGCAAAGAAAAGAATGGAGGAGTCTTTAATTGAGAATGTCATTTTCTACTGATTTTTTATTATTATTATTTTTTTTTTTTAATTATTATTTTTTTTATTTTTCTGGTTTTGTGTTGAGGAAGAATGGAGGAGTTTATTGAATTTATATAGGGAGGTCATGAGGAGGAGGAGATTGCGGTATGATGTATAAACGTTGGGCCAATGGCTTAGTTCGTTTTCTTTAATTTTCGTGGATGCTATATATTACTCTTTTTCTTCCTTTATATATACATACATATATATATATATATATTAGGACTTGGATCCGTTTACTTTGAACAATTTAACTTGATCGACCGTCTTGGTAAACGTATACCCCTGCATTATATATAACATTTTCTCATATGTAGTGCACAATTTTTCTATAGAAGTTAACAAAATCGAATCGAAAAAATCCTAGTTCTAATTCAGTTTGATATTTGAAAAATACGAACCAAAGCTATCCATTAAACCCCTAATCTTTTAGATGTTGAGTGTTTGATGGGTACGTGTA